GTTATCAAAGCAAAAGGCAAGACATTTTAATGAAGAGAAGCTAAAGCTGTTGTCCAGGATGGGGTTCAGACAGGAAAAGACATTAGCTACTGCGTCTGAACTGTCCGGCACAGAATTTACGAATGTGGACTATAAAGTTTGTACTCTAATAATCTTACAGCTCAAAGGTATATCTTGGTGCCACTGCTAGCTGTCAGCTCAGCTCAAATTTGCTAATCCCAATCTTGACCCACTTTATACTGGTTCTTTATATAAAATCAGCCTGTTAACAATGTTTTGCCAGGTGAATGATAGCTAAAATTAAATCTAGAGAAACATGACTAATGTAACATTTTGTTTACCAAATTTGTAAGGGGAGTGAAGTAGATTTATTTATTACTGATAATAAATAAGACAGATTTTACTGCTGAACATCAAACTAGAAATACTTTGATAATAGGGCTAAATGTATTATTACTGATTATTAATGAAGAAGACATTTATCTCTGATCATCACTCCAAAGTGAGCACTCTTTTCTTGTCCTTTAAAAAGAAAAAACACATTTGATTTGTTGTTCCGATTTAGCAGAATAGGCTTTAAAGGATAGATGTACTGAGTACTGAAATTCTGGCCGATAAAGATAAGCTGATTATTTTTATGTTATGGCTGATGATAGATGGCCAGTATTACAATTCTGGGATTTTTATATTTAGTTTCTTTAACTACTTTAACTACTAATTTAAATGAATGATTTAATTAATTCCATACATACATACATACATACATACATGTTTTTATTTTATACTTATATTTAAAAGAATCTGCATTTAAATACATATGTAATTGTTTCTGTAGTTACATCTATAATTACACTGTTGTAAACAGTGAAAGTTGGCATTAAATCGTTCTGGTTAAAGTGAAAGTCTTCTCCACTTTAAAGATGTTTTAGTTTGACGAAAGGGTATTTTTCTTGGGGTAAAACGTTCCTTAAATCTAACTATAACACAAAAACTGTCCCTAAAATTACCCATATCCCACCTCAGTAGCAAAAAATGCATTTTACAATACAACATGAACACAGTAAGTACATTGTATCAAACTTTTTTTGTCCAATAGTAGTTGAAGATGGCTAAACATAAATGATGATGAAATGGGATGAAATTCTATACTATTTTGTCTAAAATAAATAATTTTTAATTAATGCAAATTTAGGCATCACAGCATTACTTTTACTTTTTACTTTTACTTTTAGTCATTTAGCAGACGCTTTTATCCAAAGCGACTTACAAATAAGAAAAAGTAATTAAAACTAAAAGCTAAAACTCTATAAATACTATATATATATATATATAAACAATTCAAAATATTAAAAGAACAAAAGGTATGAGTATAATAATGATTCTAATATAACACTAAGCCAAACACCAAAAAATAACTATATATGTGTATGTACAGACACACACATATACATATACATATATATAAATACATTCAATATATATATATCATTTAATTTCCATTTTGTATGTTGAAGTACTGAAATAACTCAAATTAAATAAAACTAAAACTTAATAAAAAACCTATATAGACATAAAATAGATAACTAATACAAATCAAACTACATTAGTTTACACTGAGCCAAACACACATGCTAAAATAACAACAACTTACTGACACATAGTAAGAAATGGTTATAAAAACTGAAACAGAAGTGAAACAAGTAGGAAAGAGGAGAAATAAAAAGCGATACTTATCCTTTGCCGGTGTCCCTGCCCGGTGGAGTCGCACGGTAGAGTCGATGGTCTTTACACTCTTCGGTCTTCACACGACCGCAGCCGCGGTAAACTAAGCTTTTTTTTTTTATCCGTTTAACACAACTCAAATTGAATTCAGCTGGACACACTTTCCTGTTTATCACAACAAATGGCCAAGCAAAGCGCACGACACTGACAAGGTACGCGATACAGTACGAGACCATTACAATGTAAAGTATGAAAATGGATGTTTACTAAAGATTGCATTTAACAGTGTTATTAAATTATTATTGGTTTTAAAAATGAACTTTAAGTGAGCGTTTAATGACACCAAAGGAACTTTTAATATAAAAATATGGAAATGACCACAACTGGATTTCCAACGCCAGCAGATCACCCATATGTTATTGCTATATTGTGCATCTCTACTTTAAAGGATTACTGCTTAATTAATGAATTCATTTTCAAGAACAAATCTATTTGGAGTAATATGAAATCCCTATCAAAAAAGCTTTTCAAACTGTTTTGAAGTGAGACAATAAAAACATCTAAATAATAGCAATAAAACAATGAGCTTTTTTGTGAGCCATTTGTATTTTGATATATGTGTGCATTCATGGATGTTTGTAAGTGCTTGACTGAGCTGTTTGTGTGGTCCATGCCTGTGCCTCAGTTGAGGATCTGGTGGGGAAGGGACACGCTCTCGTGCTCCGTCCGACAAGCTTGTGATGCAGCCGCGTGGTGTGGAATGCAAACAGTGGCCACTGCATTTGCGTAGCAAAAATAAAGCATGCCAACCAACCTACCTTTTTTGTCAAGCCTCACAGCCTCTAACTTGAACACTGCTGATTTCATTGCTGATGTACCGTAAATTCAGGAATTTAGTGCGGTAAGAAATCAAAAGAGAACGACCCGGTACGTGCGCACATCAGTGATGTTGATTTGACTGTCATTACTGTGTTGACAAATTAAACTCATTAAAAGTTATCTTCAGATTAAATATTACAAGAGATGCAATAAATACTATCTCACCTTTTGATTGAATACTTTTTTTTTTTTTTTTTTAAATATAAAGATTTCAAAAGAGGGTTTTCACAGCAGTGCTATAGGACCATTTTGGGTTCCACAAATAAGTTTTTTTTTTTTTAGTGTAAAGAACATTTTAAAAAGCTAAAGAACCTTTTGTGGAAGTTTGCAAGATGTGAAAGGTTCTTCATGGAATAACTTTATTATGCCAATAAAGAACCTTTATTTTTTTTAGTGTTTTTTTTTTAAGTGTCCTTATTTTAGGCACATCCATGTTAAGTTAGCTGAGCACCCATGTGCAATTTTATTTTTATTTTTTTTTGCATTTGACATTCAGGTTTTTACTTCCATTACACACTACAATCTATGACTATGATTATACACTTGAATTCAACATAAAAGTTTCTTCTAAGAGAGAAACTGAAAGCAGCAGAAACGTGAATGATGGATCTTTGCAATTAATGGAAGTTGTTTTTGCTATCATGTTCACTCAGTGACATGAATGGTGGTCTAAAAACCACATGTGTTCACAATCCAATAATCAGCATGTTTTTTTCCCCCTTGGATCCTGGAACAAAAGAGTAAATGGTTTCAAACAGGTAATGCTGGTTTTCTTGGCAGCGCACACTCTCTTCACCTCTCCAGTGGCTGGACTCTGACAGTAATGAGAACTTGCCTTTTGCCAAAGAAGGATTATTGAATTATACGCTTGGATGTCACGCACTCAGACATGCAGCGATTGAACTCGGGTTCTGGAGCATGAGCACATTAAAATGTCATAAAACCAGTGTCTCGGATATCTGCAAATAGCCAAAATGCAGTCTGTTGTAACCGGTCCAATACATTATATACAAGGGGCGTATGTAATAAGTACTGTTCGAAGGAAAGACCTATGAACTTGAAAGGGCATGCACGCTGCTTGCTCTTCACATGTGCCAATACTAGATTGGAGATTGAGGCCTATGGAGTTTAGCGCGCTGGAGGGAACATGGATAGATATATTACACACACCTCACGGCTGAAGTTCACACCCCCAGATAAAAGTGTGTCTGGCAATGATCAAGCAGGCCGGGCTGGTGAAGTGTACTTTGCATTTCTGCTTTCACCAGGTGTCTTTTATTGGCTGGCTGATTTAGTGTGGCCTATCCCACACCACTGCTCCTCATCATTAATGACCGGTAGATCTGGCACATCAAACACCTCTAATGGTTCTGTCCGAGGGGGGATAACCCAGGAGGAGCAGGCAGTGAAATAACACAGGGGTCTCTCTTGAGACTTGCCTATGCTCTAGGTTGAGTCCAGTCTAGACAGTTTACAGCTAAACTTCTGGGCTGGGTAGTGACACAGATTCCACAATTCTGTTTGATTGAGATTCACAAGCTTCTGATTTAATTTAATTCCGATCTCAATTCAATTTGATTCTATATTGACTCTTTCAGATGTAAACATACATTAGGCTATATATTGAAGAACAGTTAAGTGAAAATATAATTGAATATGTAATATAGTGCATTTATTTAGAAAATGTTCATCTCTAGAGTTCATTTTTCTAGCTAACTATCAAGTTATGGTCGCTATGTTACATGACATTGTTACATTTCTACAGCTGAAACACTTATTGAGCAGTTACATGAGATACTGTACTGTACTGTATCAGCATGCCTTCTGATGTTCATTATTGTTTATTTTGTGCTATAACTAGTATAAAAGAGGAAGAGACAATCGGTTCATGACGGTTCTGCCGCTTGATCTGCCACATTAAAGAGCACCAAAACAGTATTTATTGTTTGAATTGCATACGTTGTTTCACATCAAAAGTAACAAAACACGATGCACACTACAAATAATGTTCCGTTAAGTTTTGTTCACACATCAACTAAATGGCATAGACTAAAAGATCTATTCTTGGCATTGAGAACTGATAAAAATCAAGAAATTGCTGTTTTTAACCCAAACAAAACAATGTTTACTTAATTCACTTAACATGTTAACATAACTGGTTAAACATCATAATTAACAAATCATCTATTTTAATCATGTATTTTTATGGTGTATATTCCCACCTCACATCACAATAGTCAACACACACCAACTCTAAAATGACAGCCCCTCATTTGCATCTGCCGTCTGGACTGAGTAGTTTGCATCCATGTTAGTCACAATGACGCCACTGTGATCCTCTCATATTCTTTAACAGTGGCATGTATGTGCCTGAGGGCAGGTTGCTGTGCATTTGAAGCATGCCTTTAATCAATGAGTCCCAGCACAGAGGCCGTCAGCACCGCTCTGCAGTTCCTCAAGAGTCCCGTCCCTCAGGCACCCTCAGCTCACATGTTAACAGCCATGATGCAGGAGACAGAGAGCGACTGGCCAACAAAGACACTGCTCAGGGCACTTAAATACAACCAGGTGCACCTCTAAAGGTGGATGAGAGAGACTGTGGGAGAAGCTTCTTCCCATGTAGGAAGGTTTGTATATTGGAGGGTTTGTGTCAGTGCCAGTTTTCAGTTCAACTGCACTTTCTTAGGTGCTTTCAGGAACGAGTTTCCCTAATCTGAACCAAATCTTAAATCAAATGAAGAAGGTTCTTATGTCTCATTTGTATTGATGTAAATTAGTTGCCTTTAGGTAAATTTGATTGCATCTTTAGAGCATTGCATATGAAAATTAGAGCTGCTAATTATATTAGCTGATTTGCCATTCATGAAAGAGCTTTGCACAAACTCAAAAAAACAAAATCTATTGTACAAACTCAGTCTTAAGAATGATCTCTTCACTGAAGAGATAAAGGATAAAGAAAAAGTCTGAAAATATTTTACATTAGTGTTGGGCTTAAAGAAACACTGCTACTGAATCTACAGTGTGAAATAGTGCGAACAGTGTAACACCACAGAATGAATAACTCTTATGAGTCAGTTCTTTTAAGTCAATCAAAGTGTGAAAAGTGAGTTGAGTTTTGTAAGTGGTATTGACTAAACCAATTCTTTTTAGTGAATCAAATGCATGCAGCACAGCCAGTGTAGTCTGAAGCCTGAACTAATGACTCTTATAAGTCGGTTCTTTTAATTGAATCAAAGTGTGAGTTGAGTTTTTCAGTGGCATTTTATAAAACATTTATTGGTGATTGCCAGGGTGTTGCTAGGTGGATGCTTTCATTGCCTAAATCAAAAGAGCCCACTTGTAATCAGATTACTTTAGTAACTAGTAAAGTAATGTATTACTTTTTAATTTAGAAGGAAATATCTGAGTTACTTTTTTTCAAATATGTAATGGCATTTGCTTTGTTTCCCATGTCTTGACTGACAGCTCTCGTGTTGCCATGTTGAGAGAAATCAGAAGTAAGTGCAGAGACACTGTGTGAACATAAAGGTGAGAACCAGAAGGGTGTAAGTCACATTTTGGCTCAAATGGAGATATATATACCAAATGAAAGCTCTTGATGAGCTCTTTCTACTACCAAAAGGACACAAGTGAATTCTTAATAATTTTGGAGTTATTCATTAGAAACCAAAAGACTTAACACTGAACATACTAAACCAGTTAGTGCCAAAAGGGCGTAACTGCACTTACGCCCCTTTGGCACTGAGAAATGTACTGTGGGTAAAGCTTGTGGATAGCACTTGAGTCAAAATGGCTGATACCACATGTAAGCCAGGTAGGTCAACCATGAGAAGAAAACAGTTTTTTTTTTTTTTTTACTGCTGAAGATGTATTATTAATCTTATTTTGTGACAAAGAGCTGGATAATGACGGAGAAAATGAAATATCCCGAACTCGTCAGTGAGGTGTAGCTAGCTAGCGGGTAGTAACCAATAACTTACATTCTGATTTTATGTCCCTAGTGAAAAATAAATATACTAAAAAGCATTTGAAATACATTTATTTCATGCTAAGTGTACTACAAATACATTTACATATTTATGTGCTTAATAAAAATACCTTGCAATTGTACTTTTAGTATACTAAAGTGGTATACTTAAAGTCTGCTAAATTGGAGCAATTTAAAATTTTGTGCTTAATGCGCTTTAATTGTAAGAAAGTAGTGCTGAAGTCTAACTAAAGATATACTGAAGTATATTTGATTGTACTAAAGTCATTTCTGTCCCCCTCACTTCTGAAATGATGGCTACGCCCCTGATTGCAAGCATACTTCAGGTACACTTTGAATATCTTGTATTTAAAGACCAATATTATTCAAAGATCATACAATCCTCATCAGCAGTGATATTAAAGGGGTCATATGATGCGATTTCAATTTTTCCTTTCTCTTTGGAGTGTTGCAAGCTCTTGGTGCATAAAGAAGATCTGTAAAGTTGCAAAGACTAAAGTCTCAAATCCAAAGAGATATTCTTTATAAAAGTTAAGAGTCAACCACGCCGACCTAAAACGGCTCGTTCTCATTTTTTAAAACACATTTTAGGCTTAATATTGAGAAATGTGCAGTGTGCACTAGTAGTCCAAATAAGGTTTAATTATAATTTTTATATCACTAAGTCTTGAGCAATATGTCAGTAAATATATTAATAGATTTGAATTATACTTAGTATGGAAATAAATGTATTTTAAATATATTACTTTTTTTTTTTACTATGGGTGTTATCATACAGGCACTTAGTTGCTGCTTAGCCACAAGTGAGAGAATGCAGAGAAGGGACAGACAGACATAGACAAGGAGATGACTGGGGAAAGGATACAAGAAATGCAGGGAGTAAAATGTTATACAGATGTCCACCTAGGATCACTGCTGTGAAAAAGTAAGACTTAATTACTCTGCACAAATGGCAGTATCCCACAGTCTTATGTGGACTTCTACCAAGCTTTACAAGTCAGCCAGTCAGAGTAGGCTACTATTTCATGTACAATTCACAATTCCATCTGAAACTTTCTTTATGACACACATTCATACTAGTTCAAATCTATTAACATTTTATTTACTTTATTTATTGTCTATTTACTGACATATCACTAGATACTTACTGATATAAAAATGGAATTAAACTTTATTTGGAGTACTACTTGGGTACAATGCCCATTTCTCAATATTAAGCCTAAAATGTGTTTTAGTGTCACTGTTGATGAGGATTTTATGACCTTTGAATAATATCAGTCTTTAAATGCAAGATATTTAAAGTGAACCTAAATTATACTTGCAATAGTTCCACTTTTAGTACAATCAAATATATTTCAGTATATCTTTATTTAGACTTCAGCACTACTTTCTTACAATTAAAGTGCATTAAGTACAAAATTAGTTGTTTCAATTTAGCAGACTTTAAGTATACCAGTTTAGTGATATGTGAATAATATGTAAATGTATTTGTAGAATAGCATGAAATAAATGTATTTCATAAACATTTTTGTACAGTATATTTATTTTTCACTAGGGAAGGCATCTGTAAAGGCTTTTCAATCGACAGTTTGGCCAAATTGTTAAGTGGCTGAGATTACTATTTCAGTAAAATTAACCACATTCAATTAACTAATTTGATGTAAGGGCTTTTTATGTGATATTTCATTTTATCACAATGGATTGTTATTTCTTTTAAACTCATTAATGTAATATTTTGTTCATATTGTCAGCAGATGCGCCCATGTTTTTATACACAAATTGAATAAAACATTGGTGCCAAAAAAGGCGCAAGTGGCTTTTTTTTAAATAAGAAAAAAATTTGAATATTTTTTTTTTCTGAATAAATGTTAAAATAGTGTTCAATAAGTATCCTGTCATCCATGTGTGTGCACATTTTTATTATAAAAGATTGAAATCAGTACACAAAATCAGATCAAACTATGGTCAATTTTTGTTTTGGCCCTCCTGTAAAGTTGGTGAAATGTCACTTACGCCCTTCTGGTTCTCACCCCTCGTAATGTACTGTAGTTCTAGACTAAATATGAACATGTATTTACTCATCTCACCTGCACAAACACCGATTAAGAATTCCTCAAAATGAATAAAATCATTTATGTATTAATCCCATTTTATTAACCAATGTCTTTGCTACTGACCTTCGATAATCCAATTCAACCATACTAAACAAAAATGACACATTTGTGTTTAATTTTTGTTTTTGCTGAATAGTGTTGAAATTTCTTCTCCTGCGTCATATTCTTCATGCACTTTGTTTGAGCTGCGCCCTCTACTGTACATGAATTTACATTTCCTTCAGCCTGAGGCATTCTCATTTCACTTTTGTTGTGAAAGGGCTTTTACATTTGTAAAAAAAACAAAGCCCTGCCCAGCTTTAAAAAGTAACTCAAAAGTAATGTAACGCATTACTTTCCATAAAACGTAACTAAGTAACGTAATTAGTTACTTTTTAGGGAGTAATGCATTACTTTTAAAAGTAGCTTTCCCCAACACTGCTTCTAAGTCTCTGTGATATTCTGGTTCCTAGATATGGCTCAGTCCCTCAATTAACATCAGTCATTAATTACTCACCCTCATGTCGTTCCAAACCCATAAGACCTTCATTCATCTTCGGAACACAAATTAAGATATTTTTGATGCATTCCAAAAGCTCTCTGACCCTCCCTTAGACAGCAAGGATCCTTACACGATCAAGGCTCAGAAACGTAGCAAGGAGATCGTTAAAATAATCCATGTGACATCAGTGGTTCAACCATAATTTAACGAACCTATGAGAATACTTTTTGTGCGCAAAGAAAACAAAAATAACAACTTTATTCAACAATTTGTCTCCTCTGTGTCACCCTGGTGCTATTTTGGAGAGTATCACATACGTAAACAACGTATGCTGTTCTGTGTCAGCTGTGCCATGCGGATACGCTGTTTACGTTGTTTCCGATTTGATCTGAACGTAAACAATGCAGTGTTGGGGAAAGTTACTTTTAAAAGTAATGCATTACAATATTGCGTTACTCCCTAAAAAAGTAACTAATTACGTTACTTAGTTACTTTTTATGGAAAGTAATGCGTTATATTACTTTTGCGTTACTTTCGCGTTACTTTTTAAATATAAGCAGGACTTGATTGTTTTTAATATAAGAAGTTATATTTATAGCAAATGTAAAAGCCCTTAACACCAAAAACGGTAATGAATAAACCTCAGGCTGAAGCAAAAGTAAAATCACGTCTGTACAGTAGAACGCAGGAGAAGAAACACTCTTCAGCAATAAAAAAAACAAAGCACAATTGTTAGTTTCTCTAAAGTCATTTTTGCTTATTAGTATGGTTGAACTGGATCATCAAAGCAAATTAATTCAACTGAAAAAAGTAACTCGCGTTACTTTTAAAAAAAAGTAACTCTAATATTCATGTGTAAATTTATAAAGTAATGCGTTACTTTACTAGTTACTTCAGAAAAGTAATATTATTACGTAACGCACGTTACTTGTAACGCGTTACCCCCAACACTGAAACAATGTGTCCGCGTACATACATTGCATACGTTGTTATGTATGTAATACTCTCCAAAATGGTGCTATAGGGTGACACAGAGGAGGCGAACTGTTGAAAAAAGTCATTATTTTAGTTTTCTTTGCGCACAAAAAGTATTCTCGTAACTTCATAAAATTACGGTTGAACCACTGATGTGTCACGTGGATTATTTAGAATAATTATTTTAGATTGCTGTCTATGGGAGGGTCAGAGAGCTCTTGGAATGCATCAAAAATATCTTAATTTGTGTTCCGAAGATGAACGAAGGTCTTAAGGGTTTGAAACGACATGAGGGTGAGTAAATAATGACAGAATTTTCATTTTTGGGTGAACTATCCTTTAAAACAGTTTTTATATGCTTGATTTGAAGTATCATTCATGTCTGTAGCATAAATGGTGTGAGACAAGTTATGCACTGAAGATGAATACTTAGGTTGGAAGTTTAGAATAAACCCCTAATGTCAAGTATGAGCAATAGTAATATGCATGCCTTCCAAAGCAAGCCTCTAACTAATAATTTGCATAACAGGTGTGAATTTGTTATGTCATGAACCATTTTCATTGCTTATCTGGCTGTAACTGCCTGCTGTGTTTTTGAGGAGCAGGTAGTGCTCTTATCATAACCTCTGGCCTGCACCCCCAGCATGCCATCTCAGTTTACAGGAAGCAGTGAGGTGGGGGGTCGTCAGGGAACGAGAGGCCAAGGCGCTTATTTAGAAACTGACAGCATGAAATGAGGCGCACAGACCCCAAATGCTAGCCAACCTATTAGCCAGATTGCACTTCCATAGTCTACAATGGATAGATTTCCGAATTCTTGTGGTGGAGTCGGTCTTGTTTCTCTGTAGGTGTCTGATATTGATTTGCTTGTTACGGTCAGCCTGGTTTTTCTGCATTAGGTTTATACATTCAGCTGGATAGAAGCTGAAGAGTGAAGGAGGGAAGCCAGCCAGACTGTAAGAATGATTGTTGTGGTCAGGAACACAGATGTGTACGCTCACAGAGTCACAGCCATAACACTCATACACACGCACGCACGCAAACCATTTATAAACAAACAATCACATATGCAGCTCAGGGCGTATGCTTTTATGTCGCTTATGATCAAAGCAATTATGGCAGTTTAGATGAAGTGCCACATATTTAAGGTGATACGGATATGTATACAATTACAATTAGAAAATCATCAGAATACAATAATTCTTCACGTATAAACAACGCTTCAATTATAATGCAACACATGCAGGAGTTAGAATGAGGGTAGAAGTCACATTTCAATAGGAATTCATGCTGTAAAACCTCTTGACAGCATGTCCACATTCATCTCTGGTCATATGTGGTCTTTCTCAGCTGAAGCTGGCCTCCAGAGATGCCATAAATATGTCCTGAAGCTGTTGAAAACGGGTTCATATTTATTTGGCTGGATTTAGAAGACATCAATTCTACATTTGCCTTAAGCAGCCAATAAACCAAGATGACTGAAGATCTTAAGATACAGCATTAGACATCTTTAATGCTCCTGAGGAGCACATGAGATAATACTTTATTTTTCATCTTTAAAGATTTATTTAGTAAATCATTCAAGAGAGTCCAAATGGCTTCCTACTGCATGAGAAAAGCTTAGCAAAGGATCCTCTGACCCTTAAAACTTTACGATGATCTTTCTTTAACATTAAGAGAGTCATTAGAAAATGGTCCAGAATTAATAGAACAGGTACAATGAATGTCCAGCCCCCAGTAATGTGATTTGAAATTAGAGTAGGCCTTACATTTCCTAGCTACTTCCAAAATGCAGGCTTATATGGATATAAGCCTGAAATTAAAAATCTCTCATCATATACCCTCATGTCATTCCCAACCCGTATGGCTTGCGTTCTTCCATTTAACACCGAATGAGATTCAGTGAAAGTGGACTGGCAGCAGGCACAGACGTTTTCACCGTCCACTTTCACTGTATAGAAAAGAGCAGCTTAGATATAAATAGTAAAAATAGGTATCAGTACCATACTGGTTATTTACCAATGATTTTCTTTTTTTAATTTATCATTAATTTATTTGTCTAAATTGTGTGTATATTTGTCAGCCAGTACTGGATATTCAATTGTAATCTGTGATAAAGTTAATCTTTGCTCATAATTTAATAACAGCTAAATGTAATCTTTAGCAAATACCAAAATGAATATCTGTTTTTCCACATTATAATGTTATGCATGAAATCACACAATAAATTAACACAATTAACACAATAAACTCAAAATAGTTAGTTATGTGCAGTTATTATAAATTACTGCTCTTCATCAGCAGTACTAGCCACTTCACACCGTTAGCGTGAACATGTTGTGTCTAACAATAGCCTGTAACCATGCTAAAATTAAGGCACATCCTCTTGTGGCTAACTGCTTTATTGCTAGTTAATTCTTGTAAATTGGTCTTAAGTGTGCCATCAGTTCAGTTCCTCCTGAAGCGGATCTCTCAGAGGTGAGTGAGAGAAAGGAATCCAGCCTCAGTCAACTCCACACAACTGGAACACTATAAAAATATGCCAAAATATAAGCACAGCACGCACTGCTGTTTCGCCTGCCATCCCTTTTCCCCTAGAAAATAATTGGTCTGTCCTCATCAATCATTTTCGGGTTGCCGTGTTTGACTGAATCCTGCTGTTTGAATGGTGTTAACTGAGACACTGTGCCCTGTTCTTGACCCTGATATAAATCAGAGCCCCCAGCACAGGTTACACAGTCACACACTGCAATGAGTCAATAAACATCTGCATTGCTCAGAGCTCTTATCAACCTCTCTGTATCTCTGTGGCTTGTTGGACCCCCTGAGAGCATGAGGCTCCTTCTACACTCTGCAATCTAACCACGTCAAGAATGCTTTTGACAGCATTTGCTTCAAGGCTGTTTATTTGACGGACAACGGCTCTTTTTAACACTGTAGCTTTGTCCGCAGGCAAGTCAGCACCGGCTGCGCTCAGAGATCACTCCGGTCTCTCTCTATAACAACAAAGAGCATGATTTCTAAAGGCATTATGACCGTGATGAATGGGACACCTTTGAATATACATTTGTATGTATGTGTATGTGTCACCCGCATGTCGCTCTCTCGAGTTTACATTGCCTGACTTGGTATGTACATGTACAACTGTAGGTTGCTGTATAATAAAGCTATTCCTTGTTCTTTCCATGCAGGTGGGAGTTTGGTGGTGGCCGAGGAGTCGGATCAGAGCAATGCCTGCCATGCCATCAGTCACCGATGCACCTTGTCACAGGAAACGCTGGCAGGTGTGTATAAATGGGCAAATTCATTGCTCGGACATCCATTGATTCAAGTACCCAGGAGATGCTCTAATTACTTTGAAAAACTGTCCTTTCATTTTCCATCCACCTTTGCTTTGTTTGCTCAGGTGCTTGTATGGGTTGTCATGGCTCTGCTGCCCCTAGTGGCAGGAGGCAGGTCACGTTTTCGAGCAGAATCCGAAGCTGCGGTAGGATTTGCTGGGATGCAGGAGCTGCCATTAGAGGTTTTTCCAGACGCTGAGGAAGAGCTTGAGGAGGGCAGTGACTCCCCATGGCACGGTTTGTTTGGTGAGTTGGATATCTGGGAATGATTTCCACAATGAATGAATCAACAATGAATTGTATAGTCCTGAACAGGTGATAAAATTCTCTTTCCTTTCGTCTCCATCCGTTTCCGTCTCTCCCACAGAGCCATCTGTGCTCGTCGAGGATGACCAACAGCCAGCGAGATGGGAACGTTCCCCCCGCTCACCGGACACTTCTGACATACAGACCAAAGGTGCGCGCAAAAAAAAGAAGAAAAAAGAGAAGGAGGAAAAGAAAAAGAAGAGCAGCAGGGGTCGGCATAGCAGCCGGGACTGTCGTGTAGAGAAACGTGAGATGCGTGTACGGGACCTGGGCATGGGCTTTGACTCAGACGAGATTGTCCTTTTCAAGTTCTGCGTCGGCTCCTGCCAGAGGTCTCGTGGGAACTACGACTTGGCTCTGCGCGCTCTGCTGGCCAACGGTAGTCTGCCCAAGCGCACCGCCAGGAAGGTTAGCGCACACCCCTGCTGCCGGCCCACGGGCTATGAACCCGTCTCCTTCATGGATGCTACCACAACCTGGAGAACCATCAAGTCCCTCTCCGCAGCAGACTGTGAGTGCGTGGGATGAGGCGAGCTGAATAAGGGGAGGGGGAGCGTGACCTGCAAAAACGGTGCAAAGAGAGGAAAGGAGGAATCGGGAAGCCTCCTGGGCCATGGCTACAGAACGAGGTCGGGCGAGTTGGCCATGGTGAAGCGCTGTGAGGGAATTTGGTCTGGCTGTGAGTGATTCACAACAACAGCTTATGCATTCAAAGTTTCATCACACCAAACCTCGACAGAAAAGCTTGAATGACGTTAGAATACGATTCGACCAAGTCCAAGACCAAGAGATGACGAGAGACTCTTTGGGCTCAATATGGAGAGAGTTTGAGGATGGAAGAACAGCAACATCTGAATGGCTCTATAAACAAAAACTACATGTAATAACTCGACGAGCATTTGCTTACCAAGAGTTTCATCAGACTTGGATACAGCATGAAACCCTGTTTCATTTGTCAGACTCCTTTGTTGATCCTGGATGTCAGTGCCCATTTTCCTGGCCTTCAGTCTGGCATGTAATATTTCAGCCAGATTAGCAACATTTGGATCATTCATTATTAACAGCACATTATTGTGGTAATTACAATGTAATTGCACAAACATATGTGGAGTATTATTAAAAGATTAGCCCGATAGAAAACACGCAGGCCAGTTAGTATTACCCATTCAGGTGGAAGCGCTGAAGGTTGATTGTATTTGCAGTAGGTTTTTCATTTCTCAGGATTTTTACAGGAATGATATGAACTATTTTTCTAGCTTACATTTTTAATCCTTTTTAATACCATAAATAAAGTAAGAGGTATTAAAGGGTTCATGTTCCACGAGGCCAGTTTTTTATATAGTAAGTTGATGAAAGATAAAGTCAATAAAATATATAAAGATGAATATTTGATGCTCAACCATAGGGACTGTGTAGCCCAATAGTACAATGCAATAGTTTTTTCCAATTTATGTTATGCTGGTACATCAAATATTAATGTACAAATTACATATTATATAAAAAATATTATCATAAACATATGTTAGGTAAGCATGATGTAGGTCTAAACTGTCAAACTATGTGAAATGGTAGTTGGATTTAGCTACATACCAAACTAAAGGCCAGTTCTTAATTCATCTTTCTTGACATTTTAGCATTTATATATTGATTTAGTTGCACCATGGTTATTTGGCCTGACAGGGTTTTTCCCATTCTAGTTATCAACAACAAGAAATTAGCATAATGTGATGTCTACCAGACTGTGCTTTAGCAGGGTCATTAGCGTTCTCTTTTCTCAACACAGATGATGACCACAATGCATTTGCCATTGTTTATTTTACTGTTACCAAATGGATGCCATGCATCCCTTAACATTTACTGTACACTTAACAGATATCATATTTATTTTTTCATTTAAGTTATTTATTTATTACCATGTCTACACATGTGTCTTGTGGATGTTTATATTTATTGTTTATACCTTGGCCTGTGTTCTTCAATCCCTGTCATCTCACGATGAACCAGCGTGGATAACTACAAGGTTCTGAAGAAGGTCAGCTGCAAAATATCACAGTTGCAGAAAAACTCAGCTATTTAACCCAAAGGTTTTCATGGAGTAAGAAGGACTTGTAGATAACTTTGTCATGATCTGACAAGGGATTTCACTGGGTGCTTTTCTGAGTCCTCAAAGGGTTATTAAACTCTCAGAGCACTTACTGGGAAGTCTCGGATTCAATTTATGAAAAGGAAATTAAAATAGTTTTCTTCCAAAATACTAAGGATGAGGGGGAGATGGATTGTGTTCTGGCTAGTCCATCTGTCTGGCCAATCTGCTGACCTTAAAAGAGTCCTGATATTTCAATAATAAAAGCTGCTCCGAAATGACATCTAAAAATATTGTTTTAAAAAGCTGACAACAATACATTGCTTTGCTTCAGTATTTTACATGTTTTATTTATCAATTATAATTGTCGTTGTTGGCAAAGTTACTCTTTATTTTTGTACTTCATATTTTCTGTATAGGAATAAAGCTGTTTATACATAATGTGAATTAAGATTCTCATCTTTTCATTTATTGGCTCATCTTTCTACAAACAAATTCAAGAGAGGTTAAAAATGTTTGAGTTTTGGGTACATAACATGAAATTTTCTTTAGCAATGCTGATACTAATGATGAAGTGACAATTCCAGAGACCCACAGAGAAAGAAAGAGGTGTAGTAGAGGATGTAGAGATAGGATGTAGGTTAGCAACATTGCATTGCCGTCTGCGTGTGACCTTAGAGCGTTGATCACAATGGGTTAGTACTCTTCAGGGATTCTGTTCAATCTGTAGTCACTTGAACTTCCTGTTCAATCACTTCCTGTTTGTTGCTGCCGTGTGTTTTGAGTTTGAGCTCCGTCAAGTTCATTCTTTATTGTCTATTTTTTATCTTAAAATCAATTTTATACACCATAATTTTCGTTTCCATAACGTGTGAATATATCCCCTATCGTATTCTACAACAAAAACAATCAGAGCGCCTTGTTATCACTAGTTCTATTTTGACTTCCCGAGTCCGCTATTAGCATATAGCCCGTTAGCATCGCCAGCGTGGTTGCCGCTAATCTCGCTTACATTACTAATACACTATTCACTGTTACTTGCTTTAATGGCGGATGTGTGTCTACCTTTGAGTACAGGTGAGGACACGTTCAAGCTGCATTCGGTGCAGCTCGAGCTGGAGGCCGTGGAGAGTTTTACTCACTGTTACTTGCTTTAATGGCGGATGTGTGTCTACCTTTGAGTGCAGGTGAGGACACCGAATGCAGCTCGAGCTGGAGGCCGTGGAGAAGCAGATCCGCGACCTGGTGGAGAGGCAGACCCAGCTGAGAGAACGGAGAGCCGCGCTGGAATCATCCCGGGCTGACGCTCACAATTTCCATGCTGTCTCAGCAGCTTATGTTAACAATGAAAGAGGTTTGTAAATCATATTGTCAAGGTCCAAAAAGACAAAAGATGTTCCATAAAAAGTAGTCTACACATCTATATTCCAAGTCTTGTGTGAGAAACAGACTGACGTTTGCATACTTTGATTATCTGGAAAAGAGTGGCCAGGATATTATTCAAAATTTTGTGACAGGAGTTAATACTAAAGAGCTTTGACAGATTACATGAAGTAACTGAATTTGTCTGTCTACCACTTCAGCAGGTAATGTAAAATTTGATTCCTTTAGTCATTTTAGTCAACATTTCATTGTCCTTTTTAAAAAAAAAAGTTCAGTATTGACATCTGCTGGTCAGTATAAGCAGAGGGCGGACAAAGTACTCAACTCCATTACTTGAGTGAAAGTACAGATACCGCTGGTCAAATATTACTCCATTACAAGTAAAAGTTGTAAAAGTACAGAAGTACTTGCTTTTAAAAGTACTTAAGTACCAAAAGTAAATTTCCTTTTTTATGTCAATGCACATATTTTTTATTGTTGTACGTAATACTTGCAATACCTCTGAAGCAACTTACAATACATTACACTGTCTAATATAAACCACAATATTAACTTATTGAATTGTTGTAAACAACTATCACATTTGTAGCTGGTCAGTGTTCAAAAAATGCTGGGAAATCATTTCATGTAGCCCTACAGGAGTGATTACTGATAAACTGTCTGAAAAAAAAGAAAGTCACATTGTAGAGAAGAAAAAAATCACCCACTGGCTTTCAAAGCTGCTACATAGTAACGACTTTCTACTTCGAGGACCTTGACAGAAATGTAGTGGAGTGAAAAGTACAATATTTGTCTTTCAAATGTAGTGAAGTTAAAGTCATAAGTTCCCAGAAAAAATAATACTCAAGTAAAGTACCGATACTCAAAAAGTGTACTTAAGTACAATACTTAAGTAAATGTGCTTAGTTACTGTCCGCCTCGGAGTATAAGTTATATGACAATGCTTAACGGTCAACAGTTTATGTCTATGTTCAAACAAACTGCATCACAGGCTTTTGATGGTAGAATTAACTACAAATAAATAAGACCAGGCCTATATGCTCTACACATATATTTCCTCCGCTAGGCATTTTTAGTCACACATTTAGAATTCAGTGATAGTGAACATGTCTGTATTTATATGCAGGTCATCGTGATGGAAATCTTTGGTAGAGTCTACATCTTTTCCATATGTGATATGAACAGAAAGTCAGATATCCAACAAGGCTACAAAATGACTTCATTTACAAAATAATACTTTCTAGACAATCCACATGTACCTGATAAACTATCACCCAGTAGAGTATTTACTGCTATTATGGTAATTGGCTTTATTTTCTGACAGGTGGCTGCAGAGCTCTACATATCAGACAACAACTCAAAAGAAAACGTATCAGTGAACACTGTGACATTCAGCAGTGAGTATTCTTCATGTCTCATTCAATAAGACAGTCATTTCATATCCTGTCAGATAGAGTTACCATGACAGACATGTTTGACCACACTGCAGTGCTGAAATCAATAGACATGTTGAGTACAAGGCTTCCATTTGTGTTAATAAAGGGTCATACAATTATACTGTCAAGCTCCACACACACACACACACACACACACACAAAATGTCCATGAAAATAGTCCACACATCCATATTTCAAGTTTTGTGCAAGAAACAGACTGAAAGTTACATCATTATTCACAAATGAGCAAAGGTTAAAGGTCTCCATTTGTGTGTTAATAAAGGACTGGGATTGACTGGGGTAAGATGACATGAATTCTACAATTTCACACACCTCTTTATTGGCCACACACTGTTGTTACATGGGAATCAAGGACAGTGGCATAAAAATGTCATGATAAATTTGTTTTACACTGCCACCTGCTGGCATTTGGCACAACCTCATTGTAAAGCAGTCAAATTTTAAAGGTGAAGTGTTTCATTTTTTGATACTGTCTCCTATCCCATTAGTATGCAAAAAAGTCAAGGGTTTGAAGGTTATCATGGTCCACTTGTATTAATTACTTGTAAATAATATTTACTGATGTTCTGATGTTGTGGATCAGCGGTTTATTATAATTGTATATTGTATATTGATATTATAATATATAACAATTAGGGCTGTCAATTCATTATTTTTTATCTAAATAATTACATGATTAATTATTGTAAATAATTGCAAATAATTACATAGCAAAATGTACTAAGAAAAAAAATTAATGCCCTAAATAAACAATTAAAGGGTTGGTTCACTGGTTTTTTTCTAGGCTTGATTGTGTTTATGGGGTGCAGTCTACATGTGTTAATGCTTCGTTTTTAAAGGGGTCATATGATGCTGCTAAAAAGAACATTATTTTGTGTATTTGGTGTAATGAAATGTGTTTATGCGGTTTAAGGTTCAAAAAACATTATTTTCCACATACTGTACATTATTGTTTCTCCTCTATGCCTTCGCCTTTCTGAAATGCGTTGATTTTTACAGTGCTCTGATTATCCAGTGCGTTGTGATTGGCCGAATACCTCAAGCGTATGACGGAAATGTTACGCCCCTTACCATACTGTGATGCCCTGTCCGGCCGGAGCGACGAGACAAAAACATTAAAACCCATTAAAGCCTTGAGTGAGCGGAGGCCGGAGGCCTAGAGTGAGCCGCGCCTAGAGTATGCGGAGGCCGGCTTGAGTGAGCAGAGGCGGGTGGGCTTGAGAAAGGCGCGGCCGGCGGATTCGACAAAAGACAGTCCGGCGGGCTTGCGGCAACCACATGTGATGACCCTGGGCTGG